GAAAAAAATAAAAATAAAAAAGAATATAGTTATTTGCATTCTTACCTACGTACTGCAAACCAGGGGTGCCCATCCCCACCAAGGTCGATGGCGCATGAACCCTCCCCCCTCTACAAAAATTGTATTTCTCTCGTCTTCTTAAAAACAGTGCAAGCGAAAGTAGGATTAGACAAATCGTAGATCATATGCAATTATACTTGCTGTGCTCTGTCTCATGTTTTCCTCCTATTTCTATGTTTTTAAACTTTTCACTCCGAAAATTCATAGCCCTATCGAAATGTGCCCCTCCCCCAAAAAAACTCAAAATCAAGTCGAAATATGCCTCTTTCAAAACTTTTTATGGCGCAACCTGCGCCATGAAACCCTCTTTTGGGCACCCCTGCTAACATTAGCTAAATCCTTTTCAATGAATTTGCTCTGATATTTTCAGAAATATAAAAAGATTCAGAACGGTTTATGACTAGTCTCGCCAAGATGTTGCAACATAAAATAACAATTGAGGTTTGTATTTACAGCTGATCTATACATAATCCACTTAACATATATAACGCTGATTTAGGCTGAGCCAGATATCTATACTTTCATGATAAACTGCAGTCCCAACCGAATCCACTTGTTTCCAACCTTGCTTCTTCCTCGATTCCTGATAATCCTCCTAGGCATCTGAACAGAAGATGGCCTCGTGATCTTCTTACCTAGAATTATTTAGGAAGTGCTACCACTGGATAATATCTCTTCAAGTCTGTTCATGTCATTTTTCTAATTTGGGCATATTTACTGGTTGTATTTATTTAATATAGTTGTAAATTTCAATACATAATAAAAAAAAATATATATAGAGCCAACGTTTAGAACATATCTATACATAACTTTTATTTGGATTAATATAATATTAAAAACGACAAATAACGACAAAATTGTTACTTCTGGAATGTAAATAAATGGTGGCTTAACATTCATTCTTCTTCGAAATCAGGATTATATTATTTGTTTTTTTCTCGGTAGGACTTCATTATATACGAGATAAATATCACTTCAAATTATACAGATAATAATAAACAAATCAGTATATGAAAGTATGATTAACATAAACGAAAGCTATTGGAGGAATTTATTTAAGAAGTTGACGTTGCAAGAAACATGGAAAATTATGTTGAGGGGGAATTAGGGTTTATCAAAAACCTGTTCGTGAAAGACCAGAATGTGAACACTCTTTTTAACCTTATTTATTTATTTTTTTTGTTCATATAGTATGAATGTTATGCTACCCCACTATAACTAATGTTCAAGTGACAGATTGTTGTAATACTCAATAAACAAATAGAAAAAAAATAATAATTCATTTTAGCTGAAAAAGTTCTAAAAATGTATTTTTTATGGAGGCTGCTCCCTCTCTCCATGCTTAATGTATAAAAATATTCAATAGTTTTTTTCACATATTTTCATATACATCCACAAGGGAAACATAATAAATACAAATATATAAACATATTTATAAATCTATTTTTAAATTTACATTATTTTATTTGCTTTCTCATTAATTATATTACTTCTATACAATTATTATTTTAAATAATTTTTACAAATAATATAAACTCTCCCTGTCCACCCTCCCCCAATCAAAATAAAAAGTCTGCGCCTATCTATGTCTTATGTAAACATGCATTTCTTTAGTCTGTTTTTAATTTCAGATTGGAAATGTTTCATTAAATAGTTCGTCGTTAATATTATTTCCAAAATTAAAACAAACGTTTTAATGAATTATTTTAATTATAATAATAATTAAAAGCGTTAAATTAATACTGAAGCACCGCAATGCCCCTGGCATCCAGTTAACTGAAAGCAACTTGTCCGTCAGGTTTCCATCGACGGAAGAAGTTTTTTTTTCGATCTCAAAGTAGCAATTATAGTGGGGTTAAGGTCCTAGGCACGTTTGATCCCTCAAGCTTAAGACGCTGTGAAAAACATTACACTTGACAAAGACTTTAAGAATTATGCAACGAGACAGAAATTCGTAAAAATATAATTCATTATAGAATACAAAGACAAATGTTTTTTTGGAAAACTTGTACCTATATAATAATTCGTTAGAGATTAGATCCTATCATAATTATCATTTCATAATTATCATGAACAACTGTTCAGTTCGAGAAATTCAATTAGGAAAAATTATATTTTGTTTGGATGAGTGTGTTAAAGTACGTTTTACGAATTATCTATGTGTAAGACTTAATGAATCCTAGTTATAACTATTCTGATTAAGCACACCATAAGTTTTGTTTGTCAACTTCTTATTCCTAAGCAACGAGCTAATATCGGAAGTAGGATGACCTTGAACAGCCTTAACTCATGAATTTGAATCGGTCTTGTGTTGAAATATATATGTATATATTAAAACACTATTTATTCAAATAAAGAAAAAATACAGGTGAATATTTGATCGATTATTTCTAATATGATTGATTTTTATTGATTCATTAGTAGTGTTTGATTTATTTATTATTTTAACAGTAAATCTCAAAATTCTTTTTCTGAACCTGGTGCTAAATTTTGTTTCAATATATCTAGTTTCGTTTCTTACACTATGTGTATAGCTAATTGCCTTTTTAAATAAATAATTATAAATAAAATTATTTCATAAATAATTGTGAATTAATTTAATCATGATTTTTGTGGGCATAAAATATAGTAAATGGTTATATTATAATTATTTAGAAATGCTCTGCTGAAATACTTTTTCAAGTATTAAAATTTTAATGTTAAATTTTATAATTGGGTATTTTTGATAAATGTCATTCTGCAACGATATTTCGTGAATAATATGTGTGAAAACAGATGTTTTTTCATCAGGAATACGTCATAGCTAGACGATCATTCGATATAATATCCTGAGAATCAGTTGATAAAATATTGACAAATATTATCTGCGATTAAAATTTAATTACAAAAACTAATATCCGCTTAATCGAATAATAACAGGCTGATATTTGCCATTTTTTTTCTAGATTTTTAAAAATTTAAATACGTAATGCAGAAAATGCTAATAAGTTTTTTTTCAATGAAACCCTATCTGAAAGCAGGCGGAATTTATGAATCTATTTTTGGTTTGAATCTAAATACAGACTATTAACATTTAAGTCCAGAAGTGTGACTATACGAACACTTTAATTTAATGAAAATTAAACCTTCAAGTGTAAGTATATTGATCAAGTTAAATATTAATTTCCTAATTAACTATGTCTAGAGAAAAAATAAATTGTCCATTTTTATCAAAACTGTGCTTGGTGTAAGTTTCAGGTAAAAAAATCATTAAATATGTCATACAAGTTAATAAGGCTGGGCAGAGATTCATCGAAGATGGTTAATATATATACTCTCTAGCATAGAAGGTTTTCTTTGCTCGGACAACGTTTGTTAGATAGAAAAGTGACATAAAACCATTAGCTCATATTACTTACATAAAAAGTAATGGAAGGATATTTTTTCTATATTCAAATAGCCTAAATGTATTTTTTATTCATCGTTTCTCTTAATTTATATTCATGATTCTTCTTCATTGATTTGATAAAGAATTTATGCTTGACCACATTTTATTCCCACTCAAAGGCCATAGAAGCTGCTGCTGGGTGTATGATAAGATCCACATTCGACTCACAGCTGATTAAAATTAAATTCTATGAAATCGCAACCCTCGAACCTTCAAGTTAAAATTCAGTTACCTTATCCAGTAGACTATCCCATTTAATAAAAATAATCAATAAAGATTATTTCAATCCTATGGTATTAATTCCAAAATCCTAAATCTTTATCGTTTTTCATGGTCATTTGGTAAAATAAATCAACCTTGACCCTTAATTACTAAAATGGTACATTTCTAAGAAATAATGATGTTCAACTTTAAAGATATTCTAAAGTAACAGTCCAAAATGTCTTGGAAAATCATTAATCTAGGTCTGTTTTAAGTGGACATCAAATATATATTCGGTAGTAGTTATCGAGCAATTTATCACCCTATTATCTATACCATACCAGGGGTGCGCCCAAAAGGGAGTTTCATGCGCCATCAAAACTTTTTTTTGGGGGGGGAGGTACATATTGACGTGGTTTTGAATTTTTGAGGGTGCGTGTTTCGACGGGGTTATGAATATTCGAAATGAAAAGTTTCAAACCAGCGGAAATGCATTAAGATCTATAAAGACCATCCATAAGCTCTCTGAAAATTGTTTTTCTTATCTCGCAAATATTTTTATCATCGATTTATTTGCAGGATGTCAATAATTTTAACAATGTTTTAATTTTTCATGTTTTATTCATAGTATTTTCTATGAACATCGATTTAAAAATATCAATAATATAATCAATACTAAACCCAATAATTCGTTAGTATTTGAAATAATCATTGATAGTTAGCATAGTAAATAATTCCAAATTCAGTTTGAAGATTCCGTTATAATCAATTGATTTACTTAAGTATCTTTTAATGGAATATGTTATTCTTATCTAAAGCATTATTGAATAATTCGTTATCTTATATCGTTACGTAAAAAATATTGTTTTTGAATAATGCGTGGAATGTATAATAGTTAAAATTCCAAGATATTTATAAATGACTTATTACAAGCTAATATTAAATTTTGTACTTGGACATGTTTACGAGCTAATAGTATTAATTTCATCTTGGTGTTCCTGTCAATAATGTCAATAATACATCTTTAGTGATAGGTTTCTTGACCAAAACAATTTCAGTGGTTTTAGATAAGGAAAGTTATTAAAATATTACAAGTTTATTGCGAGTTATTTTAAATATTAGAAATAGATTAACATAAGGATTTGATATATTAAATATGTAGATACTAGATCTACTATTAAATTTAACTTTGGAAGGTATTCAACAATTTTAATGGGTGTTCATTTTATCATTTCAGTTGAATGTACGATCGTTTGCATGAGTCGTCTTCGACACCGACTCCACGAAGATATTTTACATTGTTCAGATTTACCTGTATCTCCTTGATGAGCTGCTCTTCGGTAAGCTTGGTCTTCTGCTCTACCTCGAAGCCAGCGTCACGGAGGAGCTCCGCACAGCTCTCGTGCACTGCGTCGCTAATGAAGATCTTCTTCACTGGGATAGCCATCGCTGTCTGCTGCCCGAGAGCAAGATATCGCAGCTTTATAACGCTACCCCCTCCACTGCTCCATTTATTTCTTTTTAATATAGTGTAATAATTACTATTTATTGAAATTCCCTTCTTTGTATTCATTATTTTAGGCAAGTAATGACGAGTGGACGAATTGTGTCATTACATTATCTTGATCGAAATCCAGTTCGCAGACATAACTTACTATTACTAGGAATATAGGACATACTTTTTTTTTTTTTTTTAAACTTATTTATTGAAAAATATTACAATCTGTCTCAAAGGACATTTATAATAGTGTACAGAGATCGCATTCACACTCTATGTACAATAAATAAACTAAATTATACAGAAAAATAATATATATATACAATAAATAAGAATGCAATAATCTAAAACTTAAACATATAAAAAGAACACATATATACCTATATACACTATTTACAATCTGGCGAGAGAACTCCGAGCCAGACTTGTCCCTCCAACTGTGAAGGGATAAGCATGATTCCAGAAGATCCCTGCACTTCTCGGTCAACCGCGTCACTGGGACTAAACCCAGTGGAGATTGAGCAAGAGTGCTTTAGCCACATACACTCATGTCGTGAGTGGAGAATCTGGCCATTGCCAGAACTCCAATATTTACAAACTATAAAAGGTCTTCCTTATGGAACCTACTTGGAGGATTATAGGGATGGGTGGTGCTAGATAGGGATTGTGCAAAGGGATTTGGATGATGGGTAAGGTTCTAGTGAAATTTGGACAATTTTGCTAGGATAAGGTCTAAGACAAATGGGATATTAATGGTGTAGGGTTTTGTTGGTTACGTAGAAAGAAGTATCGACTATTGTTCGAAGGACTTTGGATTGGAAGGATTGGGTGCGTTTGATTAGAAAATTTTGCTGTTCCCCACAGTTCAAGTCTTTAAGTCCAAGTAGGTTTCAGTATTGTCTTGTAGATAAGTATTTTATTTTCAATAGAGAGTTTAGATTTTCTATTTGGTAGTATGTATAGTTGGCCGTATCGTCGGTTAAGTTCCTGTCTTTTAAGTCTAGTATGAGGGTTCCACGTTAGGCGTCTGTTTAAGAGAAAGCCAAGGTACCGGATTGTGTATGAGAAAGGAAGCTGGATGGAATTAAATTGTACTGGTGGACAGGAACTGCGTCGGAGTGTGAAGGTGATGTGTTGGCATATAGGACATACTAGGATAATTATATAGCCCACCTATTCTTTTCAAGTTAATTACTTACATGTATAATAATAGTAAATTAAAATTAGTTGTAGGCTAGGAATGCTTTTTAACCGGCATAAAAAAAAAAGAGAGATTGTGCTTTCATTTTTTTACTATGCACATTTTACCATTACTTTACCGTTCTTTTTGAACTTTTTTTTGTTCTCCTTGTTTTCCTTTTAGGCTACATGGTTTTTACCATGGCGGGGAATTACTATTATTATCATTGTGTGCTGTGCACTCGCGTTAACACGTTAGGTCACCCCACTCCCTCTCCATCCCCTCCCCCACGGTTTTTGAAGTGATTTCTGTAACTGTTTATTCAAAAGTATTTACCATTTATATTGTTGACTACCCTCTTGAAGGGTGGGCATGCATAGATTTCACCCCCCGCTAAGTATAATTATTTAGTTTAGAGTATACAGGGTGATTTGGTAGTGAACGGACTAAATCCCAGGCGTAGGTCGCACACAGCAAAATAATTTTTACGTTTTGTTAATTTTGTTCTTATACGTTTTCAATTTTTTTAAAATTTTATTGTCTAATTACAAATAAACAATATTTCATACATTTAAAAACAAAATAAAAACCGACTAATAAATAACACTACTGACAAAAGTAGAGAGCATTCGGTGGTGTCGGCATCGAACCATTAGGTTCGCCGATCCTTTTATTATTATGCTGACGGTCACCGTCATCGAGAACTCAATATCGCTCCTAACCAGAGGGCCTATCGGGTTGTATAGGTGGCAGTGAGGCTAAGTATTTTTCACGTCAGGTTTACTTAAGAGTTTTGTAAGATTCTTGAAGTAGCTACTTGAGAACCTGAAAATATCACCATTACAAGATTGATTATCAACTTGATGAAAACAACAGTGCTCTCGTGTCTAATATAAAACGTTTAAAAAAAAAAAAAAAAAAAAAAAAAAAAGAAATACACACATCAAAATGGTTCACAATAATCACTAAAATGGAAGAAAATAATTTTACTTACAAATGTATATTATTAAGTAACATAACTAACTGTCCAAAATATTTTTGAACATTGAAATAATTTAGCATCACATTGACTCCAAGCCATGCGAAGCTGTTTCGTTTCAACTCTTTCAAATTGGTTTAAAAACGTCAAACATATCAAAAACGAAATAGAATATTAACTTATTGTGTTTTCTCCGGAAAATATGTTATTCAAACATTACGAAGAAGTTTACAAACTGCAGATGAATTTAGGATGATTTATTTCAGTATCACGTAAGTCTTATCTATGACCAAGAGTACTGCCAACATAAAATGATTTTTAAGGCTATTTATTCACTTTGGACTTTTTCATTCACTAATGTCATTTTTAAAAGCTATCGGTAAAAGTAAAGATGGATCAAGAACGGTTGATGTGCTTACAGATGGATTAGTCGAAGGATTCGTTAATTTTATTCTTGCGGGAAAGCATCCTAACAGATGTCGAAAGATCCATCGATTACTATCTATTTCTTCTCAAATTTTGTACTTCCAGAGATTTTTACAATTCCATCGCTATGATTTCGAAAATGTTGTACGCTATTTAACATAGTTTAATGGTGATACACAAATTTGAAACCAATAATTAATTATGTAAAAAAATGTTCTAGAAATATGAACAGTATAACACAAAACTCTGTAAGCGAAGTATGGTAAAATGTCCCAGATTTATTTAATGTAATATTTTCTCATAGAGAAGTACAGAATTTGATGGAAGATATTGACTAAAATACCAACATAAAAACCAAGTTGGTTTGATAGGTGATTTTATTAATCTGGATAGATTATAGTGGAATTATTCCACAATGAATTTACGATTAATATTATAAAAAACAAACGTACCTGAAATTGTTTTTTATTAATCCGCAATATTTACGAAACAATAAAACAATAAATTTTTATTTTGGAGATAATCTTCACACTGGACCGAGTCCAGCAGAACTTCACATATTTTCTATCACTATACATTACGATAAATTAATCTATATTGAGAATACATATCCAATATTACTCGATGATTGCAAACACTTCTTTATAGGAGTTAGAAGAACTTCAAGGCTCTTTTCAATAATACCAATAGATTTAACATTGCAATTCAGAATAAATGCAGATGCTACTTCTAAAGCAAGAGCTCTTAAACTGAGAACCACGGCAAAACTGTTTATCATTTACTACGATTTACCAAATTAACAGTAGAATCCATTTTTTCAACATAGCACTACGATTTTATTATGCTCCGAGAAACAAGCGGATCTATGGATGGTGAGGGGCTTTCGGGCTGAAACCTCCCAAAATTGTAAAATATAACCATCAAATAATGGAAAAAATGATCTCTAAAAGTATTATTGTTCGTCTAATTACATTTAATAGGACTTAAAGAATCACTTAAACACCATTTCATATAGGTAGTTAGTTTCTTTCTTTCTGCCGAAGTAATTATCCCAATATATGCATACAAAACAAAATCTTTCGGGCTGAAGAACCCTCCAAAATTAAACCCTGCATCCGTTAGTGCTCCGTGTGAAACGAATTTGTAAAGCATCACGTCGATTCACGAGTAGATACAGCAGATGAAAATCTGCCGCAACCATAATACTGTTTTGGAAGAAACCTGTAATGGAATGACCACTTTCATTTATTTGATCCCTTATCTTTATAACGGAATAATAAACAATTAGCTGGAAGTAAAGTCTACGAACCGGGTAATGTGGTCAACACATTCGATGACAAACATCTTCGGTAGTGGAGATGAAGAGTATTGTGTTACCTACCTTATTAGCCCAGTCATGCTACCTTAGACATGCTACCTTGCAAAAGGTCGGGTAATTAAAATTTCTTTTTTATATTGTTTGGTATGTAGTGAATATAAAAAATCCAAGTTTACGCCATTAAAAGGCTTGTGGGTTCGCTACAGTACTCCAAAAACCATTGGAATTTCGAACTTTTTTTGGTTTGCGGTAAATATTTTCAAGAACAAAATAGATAAAAAATGGTTATATTCAATCTTAATCAGCTTAAAACTATTGTAAAGTTTTTGTATATAGTATTTTTGTCTAAACCCAAAAGGAAACTAACAATCAAACTTTTAAAATTTATCCATTTCGATTTCTTCACAATAGTGCTCTTTCAATTTTGAACGGAAGAAACCTGTAACTCCATTTTGAAACTCGTTCAGAGAATTTTGAGGTTTTCCTTGAAGATAATGAGCCATTGACTGGAACGGTAGACGGTCGTCGGGCAGTGTTTTTAAAAGTATGTTATACGGTGGGGCCAGACCCACCTAAACCTTCCCTCCATATCCCAATAAATTCCATATAGTTGTGTTCCTTCAAACTATTTATTTAAAAAAAGCCAATTTTTCGACAAAAAAAGTCCCCCTCCCTCACTGGTTCCAAAATGGCGTTCAAATACAGCAGATTGACGTCTTTGACTTGAGTTAGTTTTTCGGTCACTGAGATTCAGTATTTGACTTAATTTAGCCATAATTAGCCTATTATTAAAGCTGGATAGTTATAAAATAATAAAACATGATCAAATATTTACAAATAATCGGCCTTGGCAGTAAAAAACACCAGTAAAATCAAGTTTATTTAAGACGTTCAAACTAAAGTTGAAAATCAAGCGTCTTTTGTAATAAACGGCCAACAATAACGAAAACCGCAGAAAATCCATATTCCAAAATGTCCTTTTCGAGAATTGTGATATGTTATTAAAGGTATATAATATTTCTTTTTTAATATGATATAGCTACGACAATATTTATTAATTCATTTAAATATTTTAATTATTTATTTACAGATTTCTATTATGAAGAATTTAATTCAGCAAATAGTCAGATGAAAATATCGATGATGATGACTAACGTAATTCTTTCATTAGTTTTTTTAGTATTATATATTTGTTGTGTT